CGAGCACTTGATTGGCTTATTGATTTATATGTTGCGAGCCCGTTGAGCTGACAATATTGCATTACATTTTTATGTATATATAAAGGGAGGAGAGAGAGAAAGTGAGAGGGAGTGAGACTGAAAGATATGTGTTTTGCTGCAATTGCCGTGAAGAAAGTCGCGCGGGTCACGTATGCTAGACATAGGGTCATAAATCTGGATTGGGGCCTCTATTGGGCAACGGCCGCAATGGTTTTTAATATAGCGCCATTAAGTGATGCCAACAGATGTTAATCGCATTGAAATGCTGTAGATTAGAAATTATGACATTACATTAATCTCTCGCTCAAATGGCAGCTCATTTATTTCGGCTTGGGTCGGCGCAAAAAGTCAGTTAAGCGCGAAATATGAGCGAAATGAAAGCAGCTGATAAACTTGAAATCTGAACACGGCACAGCGAACAATGCAAACGGGACGGCAGACTGACCAAAATGCAGAGCACCCGCAGGACGAAGCTCGGCGAAGCCAGGCTCAGGTCCAGGCACAGCCCCGGTGGATGCTTGGCTTGAAAAGCGGCAAATCATGCTTAATGTGGCATTTTCTGCTTTTTATTGTTATTATGCTTTATTTATTTATTTTTATTTTGAGCTCAAAGCGCGAACAAGCTCAAGATTTCACAAAAAGAAAAAAAAAAAAGACTGAAATAAAGGAGGGAAGAAAAAGAGCACACAAACAGGAGCATAAAAAAGGCGAGCGAATAAAATGAAAATGAGAAGTAGCAAATGGCAAAAGTCAAATAGAAACCGCAGAGGCGAGAAAGGACTTCACTAAGCAGGCGAAAAGGAAAGATGATATAAATTTTATTGTCATGTCCGAGTAGATTAAACTAGCTGCACAGACCAGACCCAAAGGCTCGAGCGCTTAGCCCGGCAAAGTATGCTACGTAAAAGGCACAAGAGATTTATTAAGAACTTGACGGGTAAGAGTGCTCTGTGTGTGTGTGTGTGTGTGTGTGTGTGTGAGGGTGTCCTCCTCCTGTACATATGTACATTCTTCTTCTTTGCATAGCATATTTGTGAAAATATATGTATGTATACATTCATATATGTATGTAGCAGCAATATACCGTCGTCTGTAAAAAGTTTCATTAATTTTGACATTAAGCGTTGGGATTTTTCTCTTGCCTTTCGTTTCTTTTCGTGTTTCACTTTTTTGTTCTTTTGTAAATTTATCTGGCAATTCATTTTGACATGACAGCCAAATAAATAATGATTTATTTGTGCCCGACTAAAGGTAAGCCCCGACATGGGACGCAGTCACGCCCACCTTAACGACTCCCAACTCGGGCACATTAAGTGCTTTGCTTTGGCTTTGTTGCGGCCCACCACCAAAATGGCCTTAAACTGTCAAAATTTTATAAATTGCCTCCAATTATAAGATTTCTAATCTGAAGAGCTGATAAAAGCGTCTGAAGCATCATCACTTGACCCTTTCGAGCTGCTCAACTTGTATACGCAGCGACTCGGGGACATCGCAGACCATTTCATTTCGTCTCTTCTGATGGAATTGTCTAGGCAAATATTTAATTTTCCCATTCACTGCGTGCAAGGCTCAATTAGCGGTGCTTGGAGCACACATTATGTAAAAAAACACGAAACGAAAAGAAGAGTAACCAGATGAAAAAACTAAATCCAATTTGAACCCTTCGTCTGCCTGGAGGCTTGACAGTCATTGAACAATTTATCATAATTTCACATAAATTCTCGCAATTCAGCACAAGACAACACTTCTTGGAAGGGAGGCCTGGCTCCTCCTTCAGACATGTATATACATATATATGTAGGTATGTATATCTGAAAAAGGGAGCGTCTGGCATCGAAGACAAATTACAGAGAAATGTAAATTGTTGTCATACTTCAGCGATTCAAAGATATTTTTATATATAGAAGTCTCTACATTTTTTATGCTCATCTCAAATCGTGCGACGACATTTTCTACAGTTACATCCTTTATGTCAGCCACCACCTTTTCTTTCATTGTTAGCTTTTGACCCGCCGTGAAAGACGTTTAATTGGACCTTTTGCAAATACTGTTATTATACATACCTATATAATTTTTTTCTACATTTTTTGGCATCTGTCTCTGGCGCACTAAGTTCGTAATTGGCTCCTTTTTTGTACTCAATCAACAACTAATTCGATTTGAGCAGAGTTAAATTGTTCAGATTGGCAGACAGATTTCCGAGAATATCATTTATTTTTCTATTAATTTCAGCTACATTAGGCAGTGGGGTTATATGCTGTGAAAGATTGTATTTGATGTCAACTGACTGCGGACTTTGAGCTCAGACAATTTGTGTTAAGAAAACACGAGTAATTAACAGAAATGAACTCAAATGCAGAGAGTAAGCAGCACAGGTAATTAATTACCAATGGGAATGAGTGCTTAGGGAAAAGCTGATGAACGAGAAATACCCTGTGTGACTTGATAGAATCACAAGCAGAATATCCATAACTAAAACCCTATCAACTGCTTAGTAACATACGAGTGCTTAAAGCTACTACAACAGCAGCATCAGTAGAGAGTGTGTGGATGAAATGCAAATACGCCTTTTAAATCTCCATTAAGTAGGGTATTAGCTCGGCAAATATAATAAGTAAACGCGTGGGTAAATGCACGGCTGTTAATTGATTTCTCAGTCAATTGCAAAGGCGCCGTCAGATTGTGTAAAGCCAGTTTGATTGACTGACTGACTGACTGCTCGGCTGCCTGGCTGGCTGGTTGACTGATGGACAGACCGGTGAAGTAGACGGCGCTCAGTGGCTGACGCCTTGACAGCGCGAGAAGACGAAAAGACATTTGCTTTGCCGGTGAGTGGTGTATTAAATTTTACTCTTAGCGCCCCTCGTTAGACAATTGAATTGGCTGGCTGGCTCTCCGTCTGCGGCGATAACAAGCCTTTGCACTCCCAACCATCAGCGGGCTGCATGGGGGCGTGGCAGCTGTTCTTGTCCGCCACAACTGCCGCTGATAGCTTCCATTAGGGATGCCGCTCTCAGCGCGCTGTTATTTTTGCCCTCGCCTTGCGCTTTAATCAAAATGTAATTAACAGCCATGTCGAACGTCGGCCATTGCAGCTCTCAGCCAGATGCACCGAATGATTGACTGACGTTGAGTCTAGGCAACTGGCAGCGAGTTCTTTTATACACTTGCCAATTTAGTTTTGTGTTGCCCCCAAAGATGTTTCCGTTTTTGGTTTCTATAATCTAATTGCTGGCTGTTCGGCAAATTGGTTTCGTTTATGACTGATTGCTGGCACTTGACATGCCCTCAGCCAGTCACTCAGTCGGCTAGTCAGTCATCGAGTCAGATATGCAAATCAATGCTTTTGGTGCTCATTAATTTTGAAGAGCTGACGCGCAGGCTGAGGTGTGGATTAAATGTAAATGATATAGAAATAATCACTGTGCTGTGGATGAAAATAACTTGAAATGCGAGTGAAATTAGACTTGCATAAAATAAAACATTGCATATAGGAGAGAGAGTAGTCAATCAATGTAGAGATTAATTCAACAGAATTTAAATATGATATGATGTTTTATAATTTATTAATAAATTCTTTCTTACAAAATTAAACAACAATAAAAAAAACCTATAAAATAAATATAAAATACAAATTTAACTGTCGAAAAAAATAAATAAATAAATAATACTATAAATCTTTTGCTTTTGAACAACTTTTTGGAGAAAAACTTAAAAGTTTATTCATAATTTTATAATAATATTTTATAATAATATTAAAAACCAATTAAAAAAAAAAAAAAAAATATAAAAAATACATATAAAATACAAATTTAGCTGTCGAAAAAAAAAATAAATAAATAAAACTGTAAATATTTGGCTTTTCAATAACTTTTCGGAGAAAAACTAAACAGATTATTTATAATTTTATAATAATATTTTTTCTATTAAAATTAATTTTTGTTTACTAAAAGTAAATAATCATAATTAAACTACAAACAATAAAATGAAAATAATAATATTTGAAGATTAACTCCTACATAAACAATTTCCTTTTCATCAACTATACGGAGATATTTTTGTAATATATTTTATAATAACATTTAATATTTTAACACATTAAATGAAAATAAAAAATAAAAAATAATAATAAAAAGAGAGACTCCTATATAAATAATTTATCCTCGTCTTATATAAATCATTTGTCCTTCAGCAGCTCTACCTATCGCTATATCATTTATATCTCATCCAGCCTTCAATCCACTCTAGTCATAATACAAAAAATTCTATACAATCAGCAGACAGACGCGTAAATGGATGAATTGTCCACAGGGACATGCTCGCAGACAGACAGACAATGGGCTCAACATTTTTGCATAAATTTGGCCACTTTGTGCCGGTTCTTTAGCATTTTCTCTCTCTCTATCTCTATCTCTATCTCTCTCTCTCTCTCTCTCCGCTCGTTCGTTCGTTCGTTCGTTTTGTGCAGCTTAGCAAATTCTTTGGTGTTTGAAAAATGTCGAAACATTTGTCCATTTGCGCGATATGGATAGGAAGGAGAAAACCAGAGAGCCAACAGAAAAAATATAAATAACAAAAAAACAAAAATACGAAGAAGGAAAACTGAAAACTTTGGGAAAAGCTGACCCTTTTCCGACATGCTCGCCGCTGGCCTGTGGGATTAGTGTTTGATGCGGGGGCGTGTGGGGCAAAGCCGAAGAAAAATTGAAACAAGTTACCCAAACCATTTTCGTGCCGCTTACCGCTTGCCAATTTATTCAAATGCCTCGCAAAGTGCTAAATAAACAAGACTGAAAAATGTCTAGGCAGCACACGGGGGCAGCGGGACATTCAAAACACCCCGAGCATGTGCGTCATTTTTCTTGGTTTTAGGCGCACCAAAAGAAACAAAAAATAATAAAAAGAATGATAGCATGTAGAGCAGACTCGGTCGAACCTGTGGGCCTCGGCCTCTCGTTCGCACTCACACTCGCACTTACCTTGGATGGGCACATAAATATTTAGATAAAGACAATCCTCTGATTGATTTTGCAGATAGGGCAGCAAGCGCTTTAGATACTCCAGGCGGCCCTTGGGCATGCGCTCCATCGCCGCGGTCTCGTTGTGTATGTCCGGCAGCCGCTGCGGACAGACGGGACTGAATCTGCAAGGCATCGAAAATTGGATAAGAAATTTGTGGCTAAAAGGCAAAAGTTTTTTAAACCCATTGAAAATGATGTTCGGGCATCATTATATCTCTATGGATGACCGTTTAACGGGTAGAGGGGAGTCTTGGAGTTAATATCAAATTGAGTTGAGTAAATCTCTGGATCACTTATATTTATTTATTTATAAATATATTCCTTCATTTGCTCCTTATCAGTAAGACGAAAAGACTTTTTGATTAAAGACATTACATTTGGGTACGTAGTATCTCTTAGTCGAGCACTCTTTTAGTTGCTGGTGACAATTTTTCTTATCCCTTGTTAAAAAGGCTTCGAACGACCGGCTATTTTTTATGCGTGGCCTTATAAACAGATTAATTTAGCTAGCATTGTGCGCAATCTCAGCCTTCGCGTCACAAATTTCTGTCCTTGGGTCATAATAACTTTTTGATTTGAGCTGACAAAGTTTTTGGTGCTTTAATTTATTTGGGCAAAAGCTTATTTTGGGCCGTCTGTGAAATTGGTTTTCGATTTTACAGCCAGCTAACTTTGTCATCCTCTCTTTCTCTCCCTCTCTCTCTCTCTCTCTCTCTGTCTCTCTCTTATCCTCTTACTCTATTCTCGTCGATTCCATCAGCAACATTTGCTGCATTTCTCTGCTGTTTTTGGCCATGTCATGCAAATGGCATTCTGGCCTTGTGCTCATTTATGACTGGCTTATTGGCCATGCTGCCGCACAGCGACCCAGCCCCTTGCTTGCTGTCAGTTGCCGCCTTGAACCCACTTCAAATTTCTAGTATTATTTGCTTTTAATCTGCCGTGTGGCAGACATCAAACCATGCTGGCCCCAAGCACTCAAAAACGAACCGAAACTAGTTGTTTGCACTCAATACGCAAACAAATTGCACATTCCAAAGTCTTTAGCCCGAAATGTGGCCGAGTAGTGGGTATTTGCTGCAAATATCAAATAGCCGTATTGCGAGGCCATCCGCACTGCGATCGGCTCAAAAGCAATTTGCTAATATTTGAAATTCGTTTGCCATTGGTCAAATTACTTTGAAAATGCAGCTGAATTTCCACAATTGCGATTAGTTAGGTAAAATATTAAATTTGAACTATTGTGATGTCTTATAGAAAATCAATTATAGATCAAATAAACTGAAAATGAATTTAATGTAGCTTATAAAAATATTTTGCATTTCCCAATCAGCTTGCAATTTAATTAATGAAAAATTCCTTGACCAAAATATTTCATATTAATCATACAGATTTATATTCCCCCATATCTCCACATTCATCGTTGGTCTTGGATTGTTCTGAGCTACGGTTCATCAAGTGGCGCATCTTTGGGGCCACATCAAATTGTCATAAAGCGAAAATCAATGCTGGCATTAAAATTTCACTTTCGGCCAACTTATCTGTGTGAGCTGGGGGGATCCATTATGGCCAACCCGAACCTATGAAAAGGCATTAACATTAATAGCATTGCAGAATGAGAATTTATATAATTTAACTTTTTTTTGTTGTTCTCTTTTGTTGTTGTTTTGGTGCGGAAATATATTTAATTTTTATTCTTCTCATTGTGCTTTTATTATATTTGGCGAAATGGCCACGAAGTGAGTCCGTGACCCCTTGACCCCAACAAGCTTTTAATGGTCGCTTGTGGCGGCCACGCGATTGCCATAATAATCATTAATTTAATGGTTAAACAATAAGGCAGGTAATAAAAGTTTAATTTTTGACTTCATTTCGCGCGCTGTCCGCTAAATGGCCAACCGAGCAGCTGCGGTGCGACAACAACCCTACGTCGCAGATAAAAGACAGAATAACAAAAAATATATATATTTATATATATGTATTAAAAATAATGAAAGTGAAAAGTTTGAATGGCGGCAGTTGGGAACGTCGCTTGTTGTTGTTGTTGTTTTTATTCGCTGCAAGTACACATTTCTGATGGCAGGTGACACGCCCCGTGCCGCAGCGCCACTCACCACTCACCAGTCGCCAGTCGCCAGTCAACGGGTCTAGCACTCTCGGCAGCAGCTACAGCTCGTAAAAGCCACATTTTGAATTTTTAATGTGTGCTCCCGCAACCCCATCAACGGCTGCCCCGCAGCTGCGTGCGAATGTGCTCAGTTTTCAAGTGGATGCGATCTTGTTTATGTGAGTTTTGTGTGCTCGCCGTCCCCTGCGCCCCATGCCACGCCCATGGTCTTGCATTCGCTTGGAGCGCTACTGATAAGCCGAGTCTCCAGCAAGAGAAATGGGTATTAAGCTTATAAAATGGGCGGCCCAATTGGGGTCATGCTAGTGAAAGGGGCGTGGCCGGCACTAGTGCTTGTACAGATTTTAACTACAGTCGATAAAGGCTCCGAATGCGAGTTGACAACTCTGTAAAGTTTTTAATACGCTTGCCTGAGCTTTTGTCACATAAACTACTTCCGGCTGCAGCGTTTTCACTGAAGCTGAGTTGTAATGAAGCTTATTCGGCAATCATTTGACATATAATAAAGAAACAATGTTTTTATGACTCGAAGGTTAGCAGTTGGGGTGTATGGGGTATGGGGTATGCAGTGCTCTGAAAGAATCAAAAATTCTTGAAAGTAAAACTAAACTAGCTTTGAATTCTTCAGAGGGAAATAGAAAATAGTTAGACTATTAAATTTGGAGGAGCCAGAACAATTGTGAACATAATTTAGCTGATGACAGAGCTGTTAGAGCGTTAGTGGCGACATCGATAGTATCGATTAATATTCATTTTAGTGATATATTGGATCCATTCTATGCTCATATACCGTATACTGTTTACTTACAAGGCTTTTTCACTCAGTTTCATTAAGATTGTATGTCTACAAAAAAAATTGTTTAACAAATAAATTCTCATAATATTGCCCACACTGCAGCGCAGCCCGAGAGCAGTCGCTGCTTACTGCGCTGTCAGCAGAGCACGTTGTTATACGTACATCTGGATGCATGTGTATGTATGTGTACATAGAAGAAATGCAGAATATCAGCTTGGAGGGTTAAGGGTATCTCCTAGTCGAGCAGTCTCGACTGGAGCCTTTTTTTTTATACCCAATGGGAAATCAGGGTATAATGGTTTTGTTGAAATGTATGTATCAGGCAGAAGGAGGCGTGGCAGACCCCACAAAGTATATATATTCTTGATCAGGGCGAGGAGCTGAGTTGATTTGGCCCTGTCCGTCTGTCTGTCTGTCCGTCTGTCCGTATGTTTGAACGCGTCGATTTCCATTGAAAATGGGAAATCATTTTTTTGAGTTGTAATGAAAAATTTATTCAATTATTTTTATTTTAAGTTCTGATTGGTTTCTCGATTTTTATTTAATTTAAATTGCTTGAAAAATAACGAAAATGTTAATAAATGAAACTATCGATGGGATTATCCATCGATTGGATAAGTTTGTTTATGCAGCCCTAATAGATCTGTAGGCATCAAACCTTAAAAGAAGTTAAGCTAGCGCAAAAAAAAAAGAGTCAATTGAGTCAAAATAAATATACTGATATATGTTGTCCTCACAATATAATCGTTTAAAGTTGTAACTAATTTATTCACGGAATCACCAACATATTGAAAAATTTCTCACTTCTCACGAAAGGGTCTGTCAAATCATAGTTTAAAAGCCGTTTTTATTACTGATATTTCGACATTACTATGTATTTTATACAGATGACTTAATACAAGCGTCTAAAAAGAGTTGGTTCCCCTCCAAAGAGTGCTTAGAAGCTTTTAAGTTATAAATTTTATTTAGTTATACGTATTACTCTCGCCTGCCGCCGCACCCGCTGGAGCTAGTACCAAAGGCTACAACCACAGCATCAGCTTTGACAAGCCGCCAAAGGCAATATACATAAACAACACAAAAGCACACGTAACCGGCCTCCCCCCACTTCACTTCCCTCCTCTCATCACTCCGTTTCGCACTTCTCTGTTAAGTCCCTCGCTACCCCATAAAGCCAAACCGAATGCAGTTGTTGTTTTAAAATAAATTTTGAAAGCACTTGGCACTTTAGACGTCACAAAGCTTTTGCTTTTAGCGCAAGGATTATGAAATACAAGCGGATTAACAACGACAAGTCCTGCGCTGGGGCTACCTGTTACCTGTGCTGGCCCTGCACCCCCTCAAATTAGCCTGAGGCAGTATGAGGTTTATGCATGACGTTTCAGCGTTTAAATGGAAAATAGCCGTCGTATAAACGTTGCCAGCCAAAACTTTGCCTAACGGTTTTTCTAATAGAAACCCCATTAATAAGTGTTCCATTTGATGGCTATGAGTGAAAACAGAGAGAGAGAGAGAGAGAGAGAGAGACAGAGAGGCAGAGCGAGTGAGAGAGAAAAGTTATTAAAATTGGGAGAGTGAACCGAAATTTGGTGCCCATCATTAAAAACGCTAATTCCAATTTCAGACTCAAGTGCGGTGCGCAAGTCAAGCTAAAGTGCTGGGTTAAGGGGCGTGGCACTGCCGCCACCATCAGAGCGTTGCTGTTGCTGCATAAATTGCTGTTGCCCAAGGTGTTGTTGCTGCTTCTGTTGTTGTTGTTGTTGTTGTGTTTGCGCTGTAAATGAAATTGCGAAAATTCATTTTAAATTGGATTTTATTTAATTTGACTGCGGCGGCAAAGCTTTATGCGTGAGTACCATAGACGAAGCCGGTGAGCGTGGCACGGTGGCTGCGGCTGCCAATCTAATTTGTGAGCCAGCAGCGCTGAGCGCGAGGCAGAGGTGGAGAGGGAAAAAGCGACTCCTGCCAGACTTCTGCAACGTTGCCCACAGGTAAAATTAATCTATTTTGCTTGACGTGGTCGCACTGTCGCATATCGTTTTCGGTTACCACCCAAGCTCACCCCCTCAACCAACCCTCCCCCCCCGGGCCACTCTATATCTATATAAATATCTTAGCTTGTCTGCGCTACGTCCTCTCAGGCGCATGCATTTTTACGCTTGGCTGAGATTATGCTTCTGTTTGATGTATTTAAGCCCAGAGCGAGGCAACCGCTCCGAGTGTCTTGGCCAGAGTCCTGCGCTGTCCTTTGACAGCGTGCCACAGTGTGCCACAGTCACGCTCACGTTGCCACCTTGTGTCCACAGGCCACATGCAGATTATATGGCACCATGGCACGGCCACGCCCCTACCTGTCGACAGACGAAATGCCAAATTGCATGTGTCTGGCCGTGTCCTGTCGTGCTGCGGCCCTGCTATGCCCTGGACTATGTCCTGTGTCCTCTGACCTCTGTTTGCTTCTCGCCGCCTAATTTATATGCGTGGCGTATTTTTTGTTGCCTGCGAAAACTACGATTTGTTTGTTCTCCAAATATTCAAATTTTCGCGCTTGTTTGCTTCCGGAAAACGATAAGCGATAAGCTACGGTTCTCAAAATGGAAATTGTGAGCGAACATTGTCATTTGTGCGCTTGCCAGCGAAATGATTTAAAGCCAACAATAGAAATATTGTTTATAAATAAATCTGCTTGGTATTAGGATTATACAAAGGCAGTTAGGATAAGCTGATATAATTATCTGTATCCGTACCTGTATCCGTACCTGTATCCGTACCTGTACCTGTATCCGTACCTGTATCTGTATCTGTATCTGTATCTGTATCTGTATCTGTATCTGTATCTGTATCTGTTTCTGTATCTGTATCTGTATCTGTATCTGTATCTGTATCTGTATCTGTATCTGTATCTGTATCTGTATCTGTATCTGTATCTGTATCTGTATCTGTATCTGTATCTGTATCTGTATCTGTATCTGTATCTGTATCTGTATCTGTATCTGTATCTGTATCTGTATCTGTATCTGTATCTGTATCTGTATCTGTATCTGTATCTGTATCTGTATCTGTATCTGTATCTGTATCTGTATCTGTATCTGTATCTGTATCTGTATCTGTATCTGTATCTGTATCTGTATCTGTATCTGTATCTGTATCTGTATCTGTATCTGTATCTGTATCTGTATCTGTATCTGTATCTGTATCTGTATCTGTATCTGTATCTGTATCTGTATCTGTATCTGTATCTGTATCTGTATCTGTATCTGTATCTGTATCTGTATCTGTATCTGTATCTGTATCTGTATCTGTATCTGTATCTGTATCTGTATCTGTATCTGTATCTGTACTTGTATCTGTATTATGTTCCTCTTACTTGTCAGGAACCATAAAAATGTTAGTTGCTCTAATAAATAAGAGGTAGAGATAAGAGGACCGCAGAAATAAGAAGAGCGCATATCTCTGAGTTTTCATTGGCAATCTCACCTGACTTCTGTCTACCATAAATTCTTAAATATCATTTGAGCCAGCAAATAAACTTCGTTTTATATACCGTCCAAGCATTCTCCTATAAATACGTTTTATTTTTTATTCTAAGCTAATAAGCCTCAAGTACCAGCCAAGGCGATTCCTGCGGCTTGGAGGCCACAGGAATGGGCCGTAACGTATCCAGTTTCACGTTTTGTAAATGATCTTTTGTACCTTGAGTCTGAGTGTTTGTCTGTCTGGCTGTCCGGCCGTCCGTTGATGGTCCAAATAGCTTTATTACGCTGACGTGCTGAAAAATCAGTGGAACATTACTCAAGGAGTTTATTGGCTAGCTGGGCCCAAGCTGTCAACGGGCCCACAGGCAATGCGCGGCTCACGATGGGGAGCTGACACACAAACAGACAAACAGAGATTGTCTGACAATTGCGATGATGTCAGCCGAAAATTTGGTGGCAGTAGCAACAGCAGCAGCAGGTGCCACACACAGCCCGCTCGTCATTCATCAGCTTTGACTTGGTAGAAATTCGGAACAATTTTATTTATTTACGCAGCTCTGATTTAAGGTCCCTTTTTCAGAGGTTTTACTTTTTCATAAGCCATAAAAAAAGGAAATATCAACAATAAATTGCCGGAAAATTTCGAAAAAGAAAACTGTGCTGATCTTAAATACTCTACTCTCTCTATACTCTCCATATGTTATTTATAAATTAAATAGAGTAAGTGTATACAGAGATGAGAACAGCAAATGACAGGCGAGAAGAAAAATACAATATTTTGATGTTGATATTTAATTTATTTTTCAGATTTATTAGAAGAAAAGTTATAGTAGATGCATATAAAAAGAGTAAAAATGTAAGTGAAAGTGAAACATTTAAGCATTTGAAATGTAAGCAATTCAATAGATCGTAAGATTCGTTTGAAAAAGGATTTTAATTTTATTTTAATTACAGCCCGAGTAAAAGAATAAAAAAAATTCAGAATAAATTTACACTCGCTGTGACCACATTTACCTTTTACCTTTGCCAAGGCCTTCAGACGGTCAGGAAATCATGCTCAAGCTGCCCGAATGTGTATAGAAGCCCATTATTTAGATTTGCTTCAACAAATGAGAAAGATGCTAATGAAACTTGAGGGGGAGAAGCTTCAAGTTGTTTGGCACAAAATCCAAAAATATTTTATTAAATAATAATGTATTTATTTATGCACTTTTTAAGCTCAGATGTACTTAAAGTACTCCTTGTTAGAGTATATATTAAGAGAGAGAGAGAGAGAGAGAGAGAGAGAGAGAGACAGATACAGCGAGAGGGACAGATGAGGGAGAGAGAAGCAACTTTATGCCGGCACCCTTTTACAAAGCAAACAATACGGCTGCAGGACCGCGTTGTCGTGGGAATCTTTGTGAATAATGATTTGCCACTTGGGAGCGTTTGTAAATTAGATGCCGCGACTTCTTATTGTTGTTGCTGCTGCTGCTGATATTCGAGTGTCGCAGCTGGCGCTCTGCTGGCGGCAGCGTAAATATTTAATTTGTGTAGCATTTCAAGCAGAAGCAGAAGCCCCATCGAGTCTCCACAACTGACCTTTAGCCTTCTTTCCCTCATCATATATATATATTTTTTTTGTCGTCGTCGCGTATTTTCATCATTATTGCAAGTCTGTTGTACTTTTGTTGTATTTGTGCTTTCGCATTTCGGAGCCGCACTTGAGAATAATGAGCCAAGTTAATTGAGGTGACAATTGCGGGGCTGTAGAGGCCGGTCGAAGGCAACGGCTGCGCACTCCAGACCGTCTGGTCACTCTCGACCCTGTGGAGTGGCCTCAAGTAATGGGTTTTTGATCATTTTATGTACTTGCTGGCAGGCGCGACAGCGCGTCTCCTCTCGCGGCAGACTCTCAGGCTCAAGTAACTGCGAAATGATTTAGCGTATTTAAATTGACAACTCAGATTTGCAAAGGGGCTCGAGCTGTTGGCTTCGGGCCGCATTAAATTATTAAGACGAGGGTTCAGCGGAATCCAGCTAAATTGCGATTGCGCAAGAAATAGCAGCAGCTAAATGGCAGATCTTTTTTTAGCAAAAGGGTTTGCAGGCGCATAACCTTTTTAAGGAGTTATTTAACCAAAAAGGAAAATAATTTACTGCATTTTGGTTTTAATGGAATTGAAGTGGGCTGATTTGCGAGACAAAGCTAATAACAGCTGTAAGCAGTAATTATTCTACAACATAAAAAGTCGCTACACTCAAATCACTTGAAACTTGACTAAAAAATGAAGACTTCGTGGATAATTTGTGCTGAGTTTTGCACTTTATCTTTGATTACTTTTTGTCAGCCACTTGCTCGAGCGTTTCGTTTCATTGTTACTTTCATTCATTCAATTCAATCATAAGTTTTTTTGTATCAATATTTTTCTATTCACTTCCTACTGTTCATCATATTCTTTAACTTTTTCCAATTTTTCTTTCCTTCTTGAGACTTTAACTTTTACTTATTAATACTGAACTTTCCCTTTTAGATGCACTTAAAATTGCATTTATCTACTTTTTCTTTAACCATTATTTTTATTGGAGCCCAGACTCGGTTTTTGTTCTTCGATTTCTTTAATTATTTTAGTCTCACAAATTCAGAGCATTTCAAGAACAGTGCTCAAATCAGTCTAAAAACCCCCCACATCCCATTTTACCCTAACGAGCAACTACAGTAGTTGCTTGGCCGGCGCACGGGTCGTATGATTAACATAAAAGCGCGTCAGCTCCTCAACTTTACACACTCCTTACTCACCGACACACACACACGCATACTGGCTGAAACTTGAAATTTATGCGAATAACTTTCTAAAGACGGTCACACACACACACACACACATGCAACTTGGGTCGGCTCAAAATCACCATTAAAAATGTAGGAACCGGAGCTATTCTGGGCTTGACTTACCTGTCCGCCTTTTTGACACCCGACCACATGGCCGCCGACACGGGCGGCATGAAACGTAAATTTCCAACGGGCGGCGAGGCGTAGGGTATGCCGCGATACGCCTCAACCGGATCCAAATGCCGCCCATCTAATTGGACGATTACGCCCGAGATGGCGCCATTGCGTGTGTGGATGATGCGCGATGAGAGCTGTGCGGGTAATTGATCATGATTTATGTTGTTGTTGCTGTTACTGTTGCTTGTTAGTCGACTGCTTCGGTTTGCCGATGATGAACTACTACTACTGCTGCTGCTGCTGCCGCTGCCGCTGCTGCTGCTAGTGCTCGTGCTGCTGCTGCTGCTGCTAGTCGAGGTGGCGTACGATGACGCAGCCGAGGATGACGAAGTGAGCGATAATGAGGGCACAGCGCTGGCAGTGGCCGCATTAGCTGTGGATCCGATGCTGCTGCTCGCAACGCTGCTGGAGCCAATCAGTACGAGGCCGCCGCTGCCGCCAGCTGACATGCTGCGATTGGCCGAGTTGTTGTTGTTGCTGTTGGTGCTGTAGCTGATGCCAGCGCCGCTGCTGCTGTGACACGCAATGCCCAGCAGCAGCAGCAGCAGGAACAACAGCAGCTGGCGCTCTGCTCCTAATGGTTTTCTTCGTGCTCTCGTCACTGTTCTTGTTGTTGCTGTTGTTGTTGTTGTTGAGCTTGCTGCAGTTGCTGCTGCTGCTGCTGGCGGCAGTTGTCGCTTCAAGAGCAGCAACATTTTCATTATTAATATTGGTCAAAATGGCGTTGTTGCAATGTTGCTGCTGTCGTTAAAGTAGTTGCCGCTGTCTGTTGCTGTAATTGACCGCAGCAACAACTGTTTGTGGCGTGCCCTTAATTCTTTGTTTGTTTTTATCTTTTTTGTTGTGTTAAATTTTGCTTTTTTTCCTGTTTTAATTGTCAGCTGAAGCGAACTGTAAAGTGCAAAGAAGAATGTAATTAATATATCGAGTTGAATAAATACATATATTATATTTTTTTTGTAGGGCATAGAAACGTAAAAGACTTATAAATAGGGCAGGTGACTACTAGTCACTGACTAGTCTCTGATTTTTATACCTTGAACCCATTGAAAATAGGGAAATCAGGGTATAAGGTTTTGTGAAAAGTATGAAACAAGCAGAAGGAATCATCGCAGACTGCATAAAGTATATATATTCTTGATCAGGACGATGAGCAGAGTCGATATAGCCCTGCTCGTCTATCCGTCCGTCCGTCCGTCCGTATGAATGCGTTTATCTCAGAGGTTAAAAGAGCAACAGAGGTGAAATTTGGAATGCTTACTCGTGTGTACCATACGCAGTACAAGTTTATCTTACTTTTTCTTTAACTCATCCGATAACTTTTTTATCGAGAATACCACGCCCCCTTCGCTTCCAATTTGTACAAATTTTTGTCTCCTAGTCAAGCAGTCTCGACAAGAGCCTTCTTACTTGTTATTAAAATACATTTACTTTTTACTAATTAATACTACTTAAGAGTTTATTTTTCGATATAATTAATATTATTGAGAATTATGAAATTATTTAATTATTCTAACGTTCGTACTTGCAAAAATATATATTTGGATTTAATTCTTATAATAATGATAAATAAATTAAATAATGATAAATAAATTAATTAAAATTCAATAATTAAATTAAAATTTTTTTTTTTTTTTTTTGAAATAAAATAAAATAAATTAATTTTTAAACTTATTACTTGAATGAAATTTGTATTTAAAGCCAAATGGAATTTGATATTGATGCTTTTATTTAAAATTATGTAGAATTTTTCAAATTATTTTATTTTAATCTTATTATTTTAGTTTAATCTTATTTTGGGATAAAATATATATTTTTTGGTATGTAAAAGCACTTATACATAAAAAAAAGAAGCGAAATTGAACATTTTAGTGTTTTTTGATAAAAGTTAGTTCTTCTCTCAACTATTTAATAAGTGCCTAGCAAAAAAAAAATTAAAACATTTATATTATATTTATATATATTCCATAAAAAGTTGAAAAATATTTTCTCATATTCAACTTTTCATATTCAACTCAGTCTGAAAATGTAATATTCTGTTTGGAATTGAAGATGTGCAAATTCTAGAGCTCATGCAACCCGTTTCGACTTAACTCTTTAAATCTATGCAAAGTAAGCCCTGCAGCCTGTTGGGCGTGGTTTGCCCGCCCATCACAAAAAAAAAAAAAAAAAAAAAGAGATAGAGAAAAGAAGAGTTTGCAATGGCATTTGAAAGTCCTCATTGAAGTAGCTCTTTGCACAAGCCCCAATCAGCCTCAGCTTGGCTTCTGGCGGCGCTGTCCTTTGCAGCTCTCTCCCTCTCTCTCTCACTCTCACTTGTCTCTTGTCTTGCAGGCGTGATTCCTTTCGCATTCAATTCCTGCTATCTCTTTTTTATTGTCTTTTTTCTTGTTCTATTTTTGTGTGTGGCCACCTTGTTTGTACTTGCTGTAGTGTCCTTGCCCTTCTTGTTGTTCTCTGCGTCCTTAGCAACAACAACAACAACAGCAGCAACTAGAACAATAACAATACAGTTGGCATTTCACATATGCCAGACATGTCAGGCAGCTCAACGAGGCCGATGCAGCTGCTTGTGGGCTGTAGGCGAGGCTATAAGCATGGCTAACAGCATCTAGAGAAGGTCATTAGGTTAATGGCTCCAATATTTGAGCTCGAAGCTGGGATTTGCAAGTGAAGATTGCGAAAAGCTTCAATTCGACATTGAGCTGTTTTAATTGTTGGGAAATAAATTGATGCTGAATTACTCAAGGAGCAGCCACTTGCTCTTTTTGCCGTACTATAATCTTATTAAACTATAATTGGTTTTTGATATTCTACTTTAGAATATTCTTTGCTTCGTTCTCTATGCTTTCCTATTCTCTCTATAAATTTTTGCCTTGCATATTTTAGTCAACCAATTTTGATGTTCAGCTATTTGCCCATGTTTGAATGTATGTCAAATATATGTATGTATTCCCAATTGCTCTTGGCAAATTGTGCGCTTCTACGTGAAGAGGTTATGCTTAGAATTTTCTTTTCGTGCAACATTTTCTCATACACCGTGCCTGAGTCAGTTAGTTTTCAACATTGTTCAGATGCTGTGGCTGAGTAATGCACTTGATGTCCTTTCATAGCCGAGCTCGACATGCCCAGGCCTGTCTGTTATTTTTGGGCTTGGAAATACTTTTAGGTTTAGCTTTCGGCTACTCACTTAGTTATTCCGTGCGTTGCTCTTCTGTCTGCGTTGAGCTGCTGCAGGTGCTAAGCCTCCTGCTCTGCGCGCTGCATGTGGCTTAGCGTCCTTGCCCCGTCTGTTGTTCTTGTTGCTGTTGCTGTTGTTGTTGTTGTTGTTGTTGTTGTTGCTCTCTCTGTGGCTGCTTATATTCTGCTGCTTGCCCCAAGTTCTTGGCACACACTTCACGTACGCTGCGCTCCACGGTGCTGCTGTCTGCTGCGTTGTCTGAATGCCTCCACGCTACAATTGTCATGCAAGCGGACATTTTTTCAAGGCTCTCACGTGCTCAACGCCTACGACGCTGGCTTCTCGAGCAGATGGCGCCTCCCATGCCTGCGAAAGAGATAGACACAAGGGGGGGAGAGTGTGAGTGCTTGCTTATGATACTTGAGCTATGATTAATTAAGTGGCGCGTATAAAGCACGCTCTATTTAAATGCATATTAAGTAGCCGACCCGTGCACAAACAATTTACTCAACTTGCTAATGATTTCAAGGAATTTGCAAATTTGATTACAAAGATATACTATTCTAGGGTGCATCGACACCCAGAGCGAGAGCGATTAGCCGTGGTGAGAGAAAAAGGGAGAGAGAGTACATGCAGAAAAGGATAAGTAAGGAGGAAAAGTGAACGGGATTAAAGCAGACGGGTTGAATAAGCCACGATAGAGCACCTTTTCATTTCTATAACCCTGAACTAAATTTGTAATATTTATTTGTAATATTTATTTCTCAAAAGGAATTGAAGTTACTAATAAGTCCTTATGTAAGTTCCACTCAAAATAGCTCTCAATTGCGAGTCATCTCAAGTCGTTGCGTAAACTTTTCAAGTACGCAAATCATTGTGCACATCATTAGCAGCGTCTTTAATAGGCAGAGTCAGAGTCCCAGTTAGTTGAATTAATTGTTTTCGTGGAAATTGAGCTGTTAGCCAAACAGTGGGCGTTGCAAATGCGCGAGTTGCTTTTTAATTTATTTATGCAAATAACGAATGAATGCTCGCTACAGCGGGCCAAATAGCTTGGTATTTAAATGCGTAGTCGCATAAGTAAATAAATACCAAGCCACTTTCTATCTCACGCTCTCTCTCTCTTTCTTTCTCTCTCTCTCTCTCTATCGCTTTTCATTGAATACATTTCTTTAAACAACAACAGCAGCATTGGAATCATGAAGTGCGTGGCTCAGTTGGGGGCAGATTACATCACAGCAACAGTCTCTCTGTCTCCCTCTCCCTCTCTCTCTTTCTCTCTCTATCCCTAATGGCTTACTGCTTACAGCATGCAAACATTGTAAGTCATACGCACTGTTAGCCCCTTCTAAAGGTGGGGTTAACTGTTGTTAACTTATTTGGTTATTGTAAATGAGTTACGAGGACAATTTTGTGGCTGCTTTTAGTAAACTGACGCGGCTTATGAAACTCACATTGGAATATTTATACTTTGAAGTTTTTATTTGAATTTGTTGTCTTCAAATTTTATTTATTTTTATTTTTTTAGGAATAAATATTTATATGAATTTATTCATGAATCATTTCCAGATCAATTAATTAAATTGATCGTTACAAAATTGAATTTACATTGAAGCAACCAGTTTTTTGTTTTATTTATCTCTATTTTTTTTTGTAACAAATTAACACCTTATTTTATATTTCTTTTATATTTATTTAAAAATTTATGCTTATATATTTTCATTTATGGCGGATTTACCTGACTAATTAATGCAATTTGTCGTTATAAATTGTGTTTACACTGAAGCGACCCGCTTTTCATTTATTGGTTTATCTTTAGGTTTTTGTTAACATTGCCAAATTACATATTTAAAAGGCTTTTTTGCATTTATTTGATTCTATTTAGGCGATTTGCTGCTGCTGCTTAGTATGGAGCGTAACGAGGAAACGCAACAAAAAGTTGTCAGAAAGTTTAAGTTAGAAAACAACTTGGGGAATAAACAAGGTATTTGGGTATTCGCATTCAGCATTCGCATTCTAATTCGCACTCAGAGTGATTTTTATCAATTGGTTAGTCGTTGTGTTTTGGCCGTGTAATTTGTGCGCCGGGCCAAAAAGATAATTGGATTTAGCATTTGCTTGTGCGCCCAATTTAAGGGCGTATAAAGCAAATTCCATTTCGTGAAATACATTTGGCTTGGGCTTTAATTAAAAATCAAAACGCGATAAGCACACCGAACGCGACGCGACAAGATGAAAGTTGCAGCAAGAACAACAACAACAAAAACAACAACATTAGCTAAAGACGTTTAATTGAGGCTCGCAATTCCTTGGCAATTTCCGCGCTTGGCCGCGAAGCCTTTGCCGCCATAAATTCAGGCGCCAGGATCGCAGACAGGATACGCAGCGCGGTCGCAATCGTGCGACCGTGGGTCATTAATTTGTCTTTAGAGGCCGCCGAATGCCGACGTGGCATTAAACTGCTTAAGTAGCACAACTAAATTAAGAAAAGTGCGCGCCAGCAAAGGCAAAAAGGCAATTAGTAGGTGAGGGGCGCTCAAGGATGTCGAGCATCGTCTGTTGATAAAGTTCAAAGTGGATTTGTTCCAAGACCAGATAGCGCGCACACACTCACAGCTCACTGCGATTCGTGGTTACATTATAAAACGGTGTTGCAAAACGCTCAGCAAAAACGAATACAGAGATATAAACAGGTCCAGGATGCATAGAGCAACACAGCATAATGAATGCGTTGCATGAGCATAATTCATTGCAGAGGCAGAGGCAGCGGCAAACAGGCAGCTACGAATTGTTTGGCATGCAGCTGTAATGTGCCACGCCCAACAGCCAAGGAAATGTTGCAACCGCAACCAAATAAACGTTGAAAATATGTAGAGCATACGAAAAAAGCAACTTTGCCAGCGGCAACAGCAGATACAACAACAACAAATGCGAATACAAACGAACACAATGCACATTTATCATAGACGAAATACACACAGAATACATAGACACACACACACGCACGCATGCACACAGACAGAACATGCATAGATATTAATGTTGGCTGCTAAAAGCAAAGCATGATAAACTTAGCATGTTGTTGCCTTGGCGCGCATGCTGCGTATACGTAATATTTCATATATTTCTTCTCAATCTCTTGCAGCAAAGGCGAGCAAAAAAGCTTGAATTGAATTGCTTCGTATCGATGGATAGGCATCTGGCAAACACAGACACACACACACACACACACGCACATATACATATGTACATATGTATATACATTATTATTTGCCGAAAAATTTAATCAGTTTTCGTGCATAAGCAAGTTTCTTTGCCTTGCGCAGAAATCTTTGAATGGAATAAATTGTGCAGTGTATGAGCGAAATTGAATGTGGATATGAATATAGAATTGAGCAAAAAGTAAATTAATATGTTGTTTGTGTTGAAGACTATTGATTGCACACTTTATAAGTGCAGAGAAAGAGAATGTTGAATGTTTGTCAAATATATAAATATTAATATTACTTAAACACAATTATTCTAACAATATCATAATCAAAAACATATTGATTACTAAAAACTATAGTTAAATTTAGTTGTAAATAAATATATATTTTATTGTATATATTGTATATTTTTAGTTTCCTAATTTCATAAAATACAATTTTTGTATTTTATTATATTGCTCTAATATTACCTAGTCAAAATATATAATTTATTTAATTTATATAATGCTAAAAAATTTAAAATTTATTTCAATAAAATTAACATCTAATGTTTGGTAAAATTTAGTTTAATATTTTATAATTATATTGTATGATTTATTAAATCAATGCATGATTTCTTAGATTTAAAAAGACAAGTAGAAATACTAATTTAAGCTATCCCTCACATCTATTCGCCAAGCTTGCTTCGGTCATGGCTTCGTAGAATGAATCCCTCACATCTTAAGTTCTGTTTATATACGAATTTGTATTCATGCGTGGCCAATATGTTTTTCCATGCAAGTAACTCACTTTGCAAAATGTCTTCATAAAATTTGGTAAATACTCTGGATACACATATAGCCGTAATCTATTTGCTTTTCTATCTTCTCTTTGGATAACATATTTTTCTTGTTGATTTTACATATTTCATGGAATTTCTGGCTAAAATTCGTTTTTCAGAATCCTATTTTATTTACTTATTTATTTTACCACAAAAAGCAAACCACAAAGAATGCATAACTTTGCCAAGTAAATAAAAGTCTTACTCCATTCGCTTTCCCCTCCCTCACCCACCACCAGATGCAACAAAAACTATATAATTTTCGTTCAGCATTTAAATGCCATAAAACAAATGCCGGAAAATTATAGTTTTGCCAGGGAGTCAAGAAATGCTTTGATAACAGCAGAGTATACTTTCTTATTGCATCGCATCCCCGGAGCATGTCATTTTTCATGCAGATTTATGTAAAAATTTCTGAAATTTGTGCGTTAAGAAAAATGCAGTGGAAAAACGCGCCCCAACAGCGAGCGAGCGAGTGGAGCACAAAGAGATTGAGGGAAAACTTTCGCATCGAGCATTGAATTTGATGGCAAATAATGCGACTTTATAACTAGTTTAAATGCACTTTGCATGTCGCAGACGCTTGATAAAATTATTTAAACATTTTTCGCTCTTTATGGCGTCTGCTGCTTGACTTCAGCTCGAGGGCTCACCCCGCTACACCCCCGCACCGTGCTTGCTTTGCTCTGCTCTCCTCTCGGCTCTCGGCTCCACTCCCTCATTCAGTGCCTGCCAACAATGGCTTATAATTATTATGCTTTGCCCTTTTCGCCCGTTTTTTTCCGCATGCTTTTCTTAATTTTTGCATTATTTTTTCATATTCTGTATTTTCCTTTGTTTTAAGTCTTCAGCAGCTTACTGCCTTTCAGTTAAACATATACGAATATATGTATTATTTATGCGAGCGCAATAAAAGGCTGCGTTCTGCGGCATCTGCATCTGCCTGCAGCATGCTGCAAGTTGCCATCATTTCATTTTTTAAGTAGTCAGCAAAACAAAACAATGGAGCCCCACAATAGCAGTCAAGGCATTAAAACCATCAGCAACACAAACTGAAGCTGCCCAACCCTTGGCAGCAGGAGGAACGCGAGTCTGACAGGCGAGGGCTTTGAGCGATTTTACCAATTATTTAACCATCGTGTTCAAGTGTAATATCTGCTAAAAGCATGAGCGTTGAAAGTATAATGCTCTAAAGAAAGTCGTATATAAAATATATAGAGTAAATGAAAGCAAAATGATATCAATTCAAAGGAATATTACATTTGCGTTATGTTGAGCTATTAAATAAAAAAAAAAATTTAATATACATATATCGTCAACGATTGTTAAAAAATGTT